AAAAACCCGCTAGGCCCGCGAAGCCCACGAGCCCGGCCCGTTAAGCACAGGACCATGTGGGCTTAGGCCCGTCACGGGCCGGTTCCACCCATTAGGCCCACGAAGACCGGGACCGCCAGGCCCGGGACCGCCAGAGCCCGGGACCACGAAGCCCGGGACCGCGAGGCCCGGCCCGTTAGGCCCACTAAGGCCCGGGCCCGGGACAAAATACAGCCCTATTTATGTGGTTTGCAAAATTGCAATATTAGTAAATGAAATTATTTTACTGATTATCCCTTCACGGCTTCACCTACTACTAATTTCAAATTGATGAATAATAACACTCCTAGTTGGAGTCTGGACCCAACAATTACAATAATTATATTTGAATACTGTGGCCCCGGTAGATGTCACGTACTTCAATATTCTCCTCTTGTAAGTTATGACTATTTTTGGTAGAGAAAATCCTGAACTCCATCTACCATTAGATTGCTGGTGTTTTTTGACGCAATTCACATAAACAGTTGTGTTAGTTAAGTTGGGTCTCAGAAAAAAGAGTTAGGTTGATAATTATTTCGAGTAATTAAACCCGAAATGAAGAGCACCAATAACAGTTTCAACTGCTTATTTCTTGTCTGTCTACTCCTACTTGTGTCTGTAAATTCCTTTGAGGAACAGCAGATTGTTAAGAGATCAGAATTCCCAGATGGGTTTCTTTTTGGAGCTACAACTTCTGCTTATCAAGTACTTTCTGCTCTTAATTATGCTCTTCTATTAGTAATATGTCAACAAAATATTTCACTTTCTTGATTCATCTAAAAAATGTATCTGAATCCTATGGTTTAGATTGAAGGGGCATTTCTTGAAGATGGCAAAGGACTGAGTAATTGGGATGTGTTTAGTCATACTAAAGGTAAATATCCTTTTCATATATCTTCTTGATTCCTAGTTTTTTTATTTCTTTTCTATGCATATGTACTGAGAAAGATTTTCCGCTTTTAAATGGTTTTAGGTAGGATAAAGAATGGAGATACTGGAGATATAGCGGATGATCATTACCATCGTTTTCTGGTTGACTTTCTGTTGTTTTTACCATACTTTCCGAAATAGCAAAATTAGTCCAAAGTTCTTTTAAAAGAAATAAAAGTTACTTTGTGATAACAATTATTGCAGGAAGATGTTGAGTTAATGCACTCTCTGGGGTTGAATTCCTATCGCTTCTCCATCTCATGGAGCAGAATCCTTCCTAGTACGCCCCGTTTTCCTTATCCCTAGCGCGTTTCTTCTTCCCTTTAATCGGATTACTTATTTCGTTTCAGTATTAGTGTTTATTCAAAAAATGGAATTTTAGTCAAAGCTAGAATTTAGAAGAACACGAGTTACTGATAATCAATAGAATATATAAAAGAGAGTAATTTGGATAGCAAGAGTATAATCAGGAGAAAAACAAGTAAACCAAAGTATATTCCAATAGTATTTTGTGTCCTTACAATTGATCAGATATCTCCTTTTTATAGGTATCTTGGAGATATGTGTTTTACCCAAATCATAATGAGGCTATTATGAATAATTAAAGACATTGAATGCTACGTTACATAATCATTATATTCAATACAAATTCTCTAACGTATTCAGCATTTAATGCCTGTCAAATTCTGTATCCGCACTCTTTACTATTGTCAGATTCATTCCTTTTGATTCTTGGATATAAATGACTTAAATAGGTACGGGCACTGAATCCCTTGAATGGCCACTCGTGCCTCTTCCTTTGTCTTTGCTCGTTTCTATTGCTGCTCGTGCCTCTTGACTACTTATAATTCTTTGACCATTTGACCAGTCCACGTGTCTCGACACGTCACCTTTATATATAAATGCAATTTTTCCCAATACAATTAGTATTTCTTATAAATTTTTGTTGTCATGCATTGTGATAGGAGGAAGGTTTGGTAAATTAAATTTTGCTGGTATTATCTTCTACAACAAGCTCATTGATTCTCTCTCACTCAAAGGTATAATATTTGCAGATATTTAGTAGAGATTTTTACTTTATAGATTCTTGAATGTTGTACTTACATTACAGAAATTGGCCTATAATTGCAGGAATAACACCATTTATGACTCTCAATCACCATGACCACCCCCAAGAACTCGAGGAAAAATATGGGGGGTGGCTTAATCCTCTAATGCAGTATGTTTCTTTTTGTAAATTTTTATGGTACATTAGATGGCAATCCTAAGGATGTGTATTTTTAATTGTTTCCCCTTTTATGCCCTATAGGGAAGAATTTACCTATTTTGCTCAAATTTGTTTCGAGAGTTTTGGTGATAGAGTGAAGTATTGGACCACAATCAATGAGCCAAATATGTTTGCAGAAATGGCCTATGTGAGGGGAGTGTACCCACCTGCTCATTGTTCCCGTCCTTTTGGCAACTGTTCAGTGGGAAATTCTGATACCGAACCTCTTATTGCAATGCACAACATATTATTGGCACACGCCAAGGCTGCAAAACTGTATCGCGAGCGTTTTCAGGCAAGTATCTGCTTTCACCTATTCACCTAACTCTTCAAATACTGTAACATGTGCTTACACAAATTTGATGCTACTATATGCAGTCTAAACATGGTGGATTGATAGGGATTGTTGTGCATGCATTTATGTATAAACCGTTAAGGAATGATGACTTTGACCGTGACGCTGCTAATAGGGCTTTGGTATTTACCGCTGCTTGGTAAGTCTTGCCGGGCTTAAAAGTTGGCCTTTAGCTAGCTCGTTCATGCATTGACAGTGGCATATTGGCAATAGGCCTTTCGTTACTCTACTGTGAACTCAAGCTTTGAGAAAACTCAGGAGATCATCATATATTACCTCAGATGTTAAAGTTTAGACTGTTAATATGTCAATTGCCCACTATCTCAGTACCTCTCTTTATCTCCTAACGTGCCTATATGTTTTTCTTGCCCTATATGGCTATTTTCTTTGATTTTGTTAACTTGGATTCCAATACCATTGGAGGCTCCCTTTTCATAGTAAATCTTTTGCTGTAACCAGGCAGTATTAACAATAAGGATATATATGACAGATTCAGCCTTTCATTGAAATTCTACTTGGCCAGTCTCTTGGTCCCAATTTAGCACTTGAAACTTGCGAGTGTGAAGTTTTTCTATTACTAGAACTTGCTCTATAAATCTTGATGTGTTGTTGACCTCTTATCTCAGGGTTTTTGATCCTTTAGTATATGGATATTACCCTCGAGAAATGCGCCAATATCTTGGAAGTTCACTGCCGAGATTCACCTCAGATGAAAGAAAGCTTATCAAGGATAGTATTGACTTCATCGGAGTAAACCACTATGGCACTCTATATGCTAAGGATTGCATATATTCGAGCTGTGTTTGTTCCAATTCTAGTTGTATTGCAGGTGGAGATCACCCTATCCATGGCTATCTCATTACTCTAGGAGAGAAAGATGGTGTTCCTATTGGAGAACCGGTACAATTTTTTTGTTCTTAATCCTAAATTTTGCTTTCCCCACAACCAAAACCCTGCTTTGTCTTCTCATGAGATGCTTTTCCCTGTTTCCCATAGACAGGAATGCCTCGATTTTTTGTCGTTCCTAGAGGAATGGAGGAGATTGTGGACTATATGAAGAAGAGATATCCTAACAAACCTATGTTTGTTACTGAAAATGGTGAATAATCGACCCTCATTCACCTTGTGTTCAATTCATTATGATTCATATTTGTACTTCATCTGTGCATAGTATCACCAGATGAGTTATTACTGATATCTCAGGTGTCTGGTCCTTTTTGTTATTTCCTTCAACTATAGGAGTGATATAGCAGTTGTATTGGATCGTCATTGACATCTACGTTCTTCTGAGCTAAAAACGGAATCCCTGAACCAGTCAAAGTATCTACCTGACTAACAAGTAGGATAAATTCTTAAATTAGAAAAATGTGTCATTTTGAGTTTAACTTCTTTTTTTCTGCCATCCTCTGGTATTATCTAGTCATGTTAGTTATGAGCGATTGCGACAGTGTGCTTAATTTGCTGAAAGCTGACTTATAAGGTGCATTCCAGGTTACTCTTCCCTAAATCCTACTACTGCACAAGCAGCTGAGTTACAGCATGATATTAAGCGAGTTGAATTTCATAAGTCATATCTTGCATCTTTGGCTCGAGCAATCAGGTAAATGTACTCATATCTATCATCATTTACTGAAACAGCATCTCACGGGCAAAACCATGAAATGAATGAAACTTTGTTACCTTTTATTGAATTGACAGGAAAGGTGCTGATGTACGTGGTTATTTCATTTGGAGTTTGATGGATAATTTCGAGTGGGCGAGTGGATATGAGTTGAAATTCGGTCTATACTATGTTGATCGCTCTACTTTAAATAGAGTTCCCAAGCTTTCAGCTAAATGGTATAGAGATTTCCTCACTGGCGAAAAAACAAGTAATGCAATTTCATTCAAGCATACACAAGCTCAGTTATCACACAAATAGTCACGCATGCATGCATAATCACACAAGAACAATAAATGAGATGAGAGCTCTGTAAAATTGAGAAATTCCAGATTTTTATGCATAATCACACTTACAGTAAATAAGATGGCGGTTTCTGATTTTGTTATCCCTTCTATGGATCTACTACCATTCTCCTCTTACATGCCACGTTCGTCTATGAAATGCAAAGTTATGGCAGAATCAGCGTCTGTGATTGCTGCAGCAATATCAGCTGAGGCTCTCCTTTTAGACATCAATAGACGCAGAATTGGTCAGAAGGTGGGAAGGATAGATCCCTTATCTTCTAAAACAACTAAGAGGAAGATGATTAAGACGTTATTGCGGCTAGCATTTAAGCACTTGAGAAATTATCTAATCTGTTGGCACATGCGCATGTTGTCCAGCCAAAGGCCCAATGGCCTAATCCTATTCTCTTTTGGTTTTCATTTCTATTTGGAATTGGATCGGTTTATTTCTATTTTGAGTGGGTTTTGGCTTTAAGAGAAAGCACCACTCATGATCTATAAATAGGACAATCTTGGAGAATTTTTCTATGCTCATTGATACAAGTCTTTGAAAGACTTAAGCACATAAGAGTGGTTTTTGAGAAAGCTTTCGTCAAGAGAGAAGAGAGAAGAAAAATATTTGTTTTGTTGCAGATTTTTATTCCGACCAGCCAACTTCAAATCACGTTTTCTGATTCGTTAACCATTGGATCTGGCTGAAATTTTGACTGAGTGTTCGTAACATCTTGGTCTTGGATTTGAACAGTGGAGATCGGATTTGAGGCTCGTAGTATCTTATTTCGAGCCTCGAACAACAGCTTCGCTTTTGTGGATTATGCTCTTTCTTCAATTGATTAATTGTTGCTATTGTTGCTCCGTATTTGACACTTATTGTGTAGCCAATTTGGAGAACTTTTGTAACCCTCTTATTGTTATAGTGGAGCTTTTTGGATCTTTGTGATCCCGTGGTTTTTACCTTCGATTTGAAGGGTTTTTCACGTTAAAATTTGGTGTTAATTATCTTCTTTATTTTCGGGTTTGTCTCTTCCTCGACATAACAGTGGTATCAGAGCCTTGGTTAATTATCCGGGTTGTTATGGAATGGAGGCGAATATGAGCAAGATGGTATATTTAAATGGGAGAAATTATAATGTTTGAAGAAGCAAGATGAAAGATTTGTTGTTCGTGAAGAAGATGCATCTACCCGTTTTTTCAGCTCATAAACCCGAGAGTATATCCGATGAAGATTGGGATTTCGAGCACCAAAAAGTATGTGGATATATACGACAATGGGTTGAAGATAATGTTCGCAACCATATTGTGAACGAGATATATGCGAGATCATTGTGGGAAAAGCTAGAGACTCTTTATGCTTCAAAAACCGGGAACAACAAATTATCTCTGCTAAAGAAATTGATGACCTTTAAATACAAGGAAGGCAGCCCTATCCTTGATCACATAAATGATTTTCAGGGCGTCCTTGATCAGCTATTCGAAATGGGAGTTAATTTTGATGATGAGATATAATGACTTTGGTTTCTTAATACTCTGCCAGACTCTTGGGAAACTCTTCGTGTTTCTTTGATAAATTCAGCTCCTAGAGGTAAGGTGACCATGGAATATGCCAAGAGTGGTGTGTTGAACGAGGAAGTAAGGAGAAAATCTCATGGTTCGTCCTCACAAGCAGATATCTTGGTTACAGAAGACCGGGGGAGAGATAGAACAAGAGGCTCAAGGAATAGAGGTAAAAGTAGAAGCAAGTCAAGGTCCAAATACTATAATATTACATGCAACCACTGTGGCAAGAAAGGACACATCAAAAGGTTTTGCCGCAAGTTGAATCAAGACACTAGAGAAGGAAAGAAAGCTNTTGCACTAGACCAGATATTGCACATGCCGTTGGCAATGTTAGTAGATTCCTTTCTAATCCTGGAAAAGAACATTGAGATGCAGTAAAATGGATATTAAGGTATTTGAAAGGTACTGCAGATTTAAAGTTGTGCTTTGGCAATGGCAAGCCTGAACTTGTTTGTTACACAGACTCTGATTTAGGAGGCAATCTTGATAATTCAAGATCCACTTTCGGTTATTTGATCACTTTTGCAGGGGGAGCTGTTTCTTGGCAATCTAGACTACAGAAGTGCATAGCTCTATCCACCACAGAAGCCGAATATATTGTTGTCACAGAAGGTGCCAAAGAACTATTATGGATGAAGGAGTTTATTAATGATTTTGGCTTTGAGCAGCCAAGGTACATCTTATTTTGTGATAATCAGAGTGTTATCTGTCTCACCAAGCACTCCAGTTTTCATTCTAAGACCAAACATATAAATAGAAAGTATCATTGGATAAGAATGTTCGTGGAAGAGAAATTATTTGAGGTTGAGAAGATACACACTGATGAAAATTCTTCGGATATGCTGACAAAGGCGATGGTTGCAGATAAACATGAATTTTGTAGAAAATTGGCAGGCATGAAGCCTGTCAATAGTTCCTCCACTTGAAGACACATTTATCCCCTTGGCTGGAGGGGGAGCTTGTTGGGCACATTCCCATGTTGTCCAGCCAAAGGGTCAATTTCCTCATCCTATTCTCTTTTGGTTTCCATTCCTATTTGGAATTGGATTCAGTTTATTCCTATTTTGAGTGGGTTTTGGCTTTAAGAGAAAGCACCAGTCATGATCTATAAATAGGACAACCTTGGAGAATTATTCTATGCTCATTGATACAAGTCTTTGAAAGACTTAAGCACATAAGAGTGGTTTTTGAGAGAGCTTTCGTCAAGAGAGAAGAGAGAAGAAAAATATTTGTTTTGCTGCAGATTTTTATTCCGACTAGCCAACTTCAAATCACGTTTTCCGATTCGTTAACCGTTGGATCGGGCTAAAATTTTGACTGAGTATTCGTAACATCTTGGTCTTGGATGTGAACGGTGGCGATCGGATTTGGAGGCTCTTAGTATCTTATTTCGAGCCTCGAACAACAGCTTCATTTTTGTGGATTATGCTCTTTCTTCAATTGATTAGTTGTTGCTCTTGTTGCTATTGTTGCTATTGTTGCTCCGTGTTTGGCACTTATTGTGTAGCTAATTTGGAGAACTTTTGTAACCCTCTTATTATTAAAGTGAAGTTTTTTGGATCTTTGTGATCCCGTGGTTTTTACCTTCGATTTGAAGGGTTTTCCACGTTAAAATTTGGTGTTCTTTATCTTCTTTATTTTCGAGTTTGCCTCTTCCTCGACATAACATAATCGAGCAAAATAATGTGATTCACCGTCTCTATAGATTAAACAAGACTTATCTATTGCACCTGGTATAATTTCTTGGCCTTGGCCATATGCCTAAGTATATGACTTCCTACCGGTGCCTTTCATTTATTACAATCTTAACTTCTCAAAAAGAATTTTCCTTTCCTTCCATAGCTTTTGGTCCATGAAAAAGGAAAATTCGTAGTTTTTGGTCCATGAAATATATATATATATATATATATATATATATATAT